AAGATATACAGAAGGAAAGAAAGGTAAAAGCCCTGAGGCGAAAGGTAGATGAAGAGAAACAGGTTAAGTTATAAGAGCTAGCAAGAGATAAGAGCTAAGCTAAGGCCAAGCATTCAAAGCTAATAATAAGTCTCTGTGTCATGATTTGGGAGCAGGTTGGTGGCCTAAAAGGAAGTCTGCGCCATTGGAGGTCAGAGGGACTTGTGGGGTCACTGGCCTTCTTTGTCCCTCTTCCTAGTGTGACCGCATTGAATATATCTCCTTTTTCTGTTTTCCACTTTTTTTTAGGGGGGCGGTTCGAGACAGGAGTTCTCTGTGAAACAGCCCTACCTGTCTGGAACTTCCTTTGTAGACCAGGCTATTCTTGAAGTGACAGAGATCTACCTGTCTCTGCTTCCCTAGTGCTGGGATTATAGGTGTGTGCCACTGTGCCTGGCTTCTGTTTTCCATTTTCAGTTTGGCTCTTTTAATTAGCTTACTCAAGAAAGGTAGCCAGACCTGAGTTGGGGCACAAGTTGTGACTACCACTTTGGATAACATGTGAACATTGTTTTGCCTTTAAGATCCTTTACTGGGTTGATCTGAGCCTGCTGTTGCTCATTCTTATGCTCACAGTGTCTTAGTGAGTTGCACAGTGTACCTAAGGAGTGTTCTAGAGACTTGCTGACAGGGAGAGCTTGAAGAGAGAACACTTCCACCCCTGTCAGGAAGCAAAGTGGAGTGTCTCTTTGGGTTGTTTTTCTGAAACTGATTCCCTAGTGCCGAATCTCCCTGTGTTCTGGGCAGGGTGTCCAAAGGCAAGCATCTTCAGTGGTCTACTTTTAATCTTTTACAATCAAAAAGTATACTCATACTCTTAGCTGGAACCGAATCTGAGGCAGAGGTTCAGTGTGCAGACAGATGCTCCTTGGGAGAAGTAGATGGGGAGAAGATGCAGCTGGCCTGGCCTGGCCTGCCACCCGGGCAAGTTTGAAAAGCAGCCACAGATGTAACTGGACATCCAGAGTCAGCAGGGCTACTCCTCCCTCTCCCCCTCCCCCAGCAGCCTTTGTCCTGGTCTTGCGCCCCCACCCCCCAACACACAAAGCTCAGACCTCCAAGCTCACTTCCCTGGCTGGTATAGATGCATTCTCCACTCCTCAGAGGAGCCTCAGGAGGTAGCATTACCTGGCTACCTTCCCTCCGTGAGCAGACAATGAGTGAGTTGTCCCACTTTCCGCTTCAGCGACTGCTCTGTTCTGCCAGGCCTGTGGAGGCAGCGACAGCTGGCACACAGCCTGCTGTACAGTGACAAAGGCCACGGGAGTGTTTACATCTCCGAGGTCTAGGCCCTTGTCTTTTTCTCTTCACAGAGGAAGGCCGATTCCGATTCTTTGGATCACTGTGGGACCTTTCCCTCTGGATCGGTGGCAGAAGGAGCAAGCCAGGGACACCACTGGAGTGGAACATTCAGGAAATAAACGTGAGCGCACCGAACAGCCTTTTACTGTGAGCTGATGTGTGACCTGCTTTTCAGTCTTACAGGGTCCTTTCCACGCTGGTGAATGGAGATGGTTCTGTCCTTACTTGGCAATACGGGCAATGGGTCAATGTTGAAAGTAAAATGTAAGTTGGTCAGTGAAACCAGAGAGCTTGGCTGCCTCTGTTTTAACCTTTCCTGGCACCATTCATATTTAGGTGTGATTCAAAGCAAATAAGAAACAAAGTGGCTTGACCCCCAAGACCAAAGAGGACACAGCCAGGCACAGCCAAGCACCTCCAGCAGGGCTGCTAGACTTAGAGAAGGCAGGTGCAGGCTACACTGGCCTGCACAACTGGCTTCTCATGCTGGGTCAGGAGCCCAGGCTCTGAAAACAATGAGCCTCTAGAAGGCCCTCCCAGCACCTGTCAGCCTTCACAGGCCAGAGCTTCCCCAGAGAGGAGCCAGCTGTCTGCTGAGGGGATCTGGCTGGACACAGGCTGTCTGGTCTGGTCATAGCAATACAGTCACCTAGATCGCCAGCCACTTAGCAGCTGCTGTCCTGTCCTGTAGTCCGGTTCCAAGGTCTCCTCCCGTCCCCTGCCCTTACCCACCTCTGGCTCAGCCATATTCCTTCCTGCTCTAGTCCTAGGCTGTTGAGTCCCACCAGCTGGGGAGCCCCGAGAGGATGTGTACAGTGCCAGTTGGGGGTGATGGAGGTCCAGGGAAGGCAGACAAAACAGACACACAGACATCGCCATCTCCATTCCTGCCTGACCATGGCTGACCACCCTAGCCAGGCCATCTCTGCTACATGTCCCCTCCGGTCCCGGTGACTTTATATGAACCTGTTCTGCCAATATTGGCCTCCTTGGCAATGTTCCCCTTCCTCTGAAGAGACTGGTCCTTGTCCTTGGTCCCTTTGCAGACTATAGGCCAGCGTCTCTCCTCCCTTGTGACTTCCTGATGTAAACTGTAGCCCAGGGGCAGCGCTTCACCCACACACCTGCAGTACAGGTTGCCCTCCAGTGTTCTTTCCTGTAAGCTGAGGCAATAAATTCACTTCCAGCCTCCCACTCCTCCTCACATAATATCCTCACACTTCCTGGCTCTGTGTCCTCACCACTTCCATTCAGGCTCACTCCCAACCTATGGAAGGGAGGATTCATGGAAACTGTTATCCACACAGCTTTGGTTTGGGGGCCAAACAACCACTCCAATGACCTGGGTCCAGGAGTGCAGCCCAGCTGAGCAGACCCCCTGACTACTTGGTGCTAGCTGCTGCCAGGTTGTCCTGGGCACTCTAGTATCTGCTATACCCATGCGACCTTTGCCCTAGCCTGTGCGACATGTGCAGCTGCTGGGAGTTTTCTCTGGAGACAAGGTGCTAGGTCCTAGAATCCTTTGGGACATGGATTCTTCTGAAAACACAACACCTTCATCCCAGAAAATGTGTGAGTGTGATTGTGCTCATGTGTGATTGTGCTCATGTGTGCATGCAAGTGCACACATAGATTGTCATACTACTATAAGTGGATCAGGATGCCTGCTTCCACTTGCCCCAGATCCCAGGCTGAAAATGTGCTGTATCCCAGAAAAACATTCTGGCTGAGCTTTTCTTTGAGCTGGTGTGTGACCCCAACCGTTCTGCCATCACTGGATCTTGAGTTAGCCAGTTGTAATGGCAGCTGGTCTAGCATGTCCCTCGGGCTCGAAGCTAGGGGATTATACCACAACCCACATCTCTGATACTAAAGGTCAGGCAAGGGCATGGGCGGGGCTCTGATTCTGTCTCAGGGTATGTCCCAGAGGAAGTCCCTTTCAGCAGGCAGGAGATTCAGGGAACTACAAGTTTGGGGAAACTGCAAAAGCTTTGGGCCAGCAGCCACTTCCGAGCTCTTGGGCGGTTACTTTTAAACAGTTTCAAGGGCCAGCAAGGTGGCTCTGTGTGTAAAGGCACTTGCCGCCCAAGCCTGAGGACCCAAGTTCAATCCTCAGAACTCATGGAAAAGGGGATGGATGGAGATAAACAACTTCACAAAGTTGTCCTCTGACCTCCGCACGTGCAGCATGGCATTGCATGTGACCCACAGCATGCACATGAACATGTGATTCATACACACATGAAATAATAATAATAATAATAATAATAATAATAATAATAATAATAAAAACAATTTCAAAATGTTTTCTTCAATGTACTTTTAAGAGGTTAAGCAACTGAGCCTTTCCAATGTCTGGGCTCAAAGCTTACCCTGCCCCGATGATTGCACAGACCCTGTCAAACCCTTTCTATTTTTGAACTGGAGTTCCTCACCAGTTAAACAATTATGATCTGAAGGGTTCATCCATAACACACACTGTTGACATTGGGCTTCAGGCGCCGGGGAGATAGTAATGTTCTAAGAAGGGAGTGTGGGACTCAAAGAGGAGAAATGGCTCCTAAGAGTCAGGAGACAGGTGGAATTTAGCCCTGAAACCAGGGCTCAGGTCCCTAGAGGGGCTGTGGGCTCCCTCCCTAGTGCAGAGGGCTTCCCGGGAGAGCCAGTAGTCAGCCTGTCTCCTCCGAGACTTGTCTGCGCGAGCTTCTACTTCCACAGTTCTTGTTCTCCATCCCACAGTCCAGCTGGCTCTGACTCAGGGAGACCTGACTTTAATCCTGTCCTCAACCTCACGTCACCCTCCGACCCTCCTGGGTGTCGGATGGACACTCCAATCTCTGCATCAGCCTTGTCAAGTCTGCAAGTGTGAGCGCTACCGAGAGTTAGGACTCCAGCTGTTAAACACACACAGCAACGTGCTGAAACACACCCTAGCGTAATTTCCAGCAAGCAATAGTTTAACCCAAGATGAATTTCCTCTTCTCTTTTCTCCCTTCCCCTCTCCCTCAGCCCCTTCCTTCCCGCTAAGGTTCCTCTCCCCATCACCTCCAGCCTCCTGGGGGAACAGGAAGCCGCAGGCAGGTCTGTGTTTACCTGTCCTCCGGTTCGTTTCCCACAGCTTCTGGCGGGGCTGAGTGACACCCTCGTACCTGCAGGCGAACTGCAGCAAGGGTTGCCCCTGCCAGCTCAGCGTGTCACTTTGGCGGATAAGCTGCCTGGGTTCAATTCCTGGATCCCGGCCCTCACCTGCTATGTGGCATCCTTTAATTCCCAGCAAGGTGGGATTTCTAAACTCCCTTACAGGGGTTTAAAGGGTTCTGGCTGTCTTGGCACGGGCAGTCTAAGAGTTGGGACCACAGGCGAACCACAGTCCAAGGGATGAAGTTAAAGAGATTTAGAGGTACAGTTCCCCAACGTTCTACCCCTCAGCCCCCCTCGCCTGCTTTTGTTATGCAACGCTTGGGATGGAATCCAGCCTTCACGAGTGCCACACAAGCACGCCACCAGCTGAGCAAGAGCCCCAGCCTGCGACGCGTCTAGCCTCAGTTTCACATTCAAAAATGGGGATAAAGAAAGCAATATTGTGACCGCGCAGTGAGGGGTGAGTGGCGTATTGTGTTAAAGCCCTTTGCTCACGGCCGACCGTCACAAACAGCGACAGAGAAACAAGTGCCTCGGTGAGCTATCATCCTGGCGTCCGGGTTTCCATCTGTGAAATCAGACCGTTTTGCTGGAAGCCCTCTTCCCGCCTCTGAGACCATGTCTCTAGGAGACCGGCTGAGAGGAGGGTGAGGTGAGCATAACTGTAGCCAGCAGTTTGGTCCACGTGTCCTGTTAAGATTTAGCCCCTAAAGTGCCTTGTCCTAGGAGATGTTAGGCACAATGCCACTCTCAGCCCTAGCTGGAGGCCCCCAGTGCGCCAGGCTGGCAGGGGGAGGAGACTCGCGCACAGCGACCGAAGGGCACAAGTGCTCAGGCTCCAGCGCTCTCTGCCTGATCGCCGCCCCCGAGTCGAGGGTGGAGTGGTCTAAGAACGTCCACTACCTCTGCAGCCTAGGCATCACTCACCGTCCAGTCATCGCATGGTCCAGAGGCCACCAGCAAGGCAGTCCCTCCGCCTGCACCAGAGTTGTGCCTGCACCCGGCTTCAGAGCCGGGCCTCTGCTGCAGGGGGTCAGGTCCGCCCCTGCCCGCCCTAGACACACCTCTTCCCGCCCCCGGACACGCCCCTCTTCGCCCTGGGAACGCCCCTTCTCCCTGGTCAACAGCATTGCCCATCAGTCCATCTCTTCCCTCCTGAGTGCTTGCTACCGTTGCCCCTCAAGAAGACCCCGGGCATCTGCCCCCTTGCTTGATCTCCATGGGCACCACCAAGTGTTCCGCGCGTCACTTAAGTTCCCAGTCCTCGAGGGCGCCTCAGGAGGCAGAGAGAAAGCAGCCGGACTGGGCCCTAGGGGCCAGGGATCCTGGGTAACGCAGATCCTTGGGTTTCAACAAAGGCCTCTGCGCAGGCGCTGCAGCTACAACTGTGTGCATCTTGGGGAGGGTGGAGTGTGTGTGTGTGTGTGTGTGTGTGTGTGTGTGTGTGTGTGTGTGTTCGCGCGAGCGTGTGAAACTCGCAACATCTATTTATTGTCCAGGTGGCACCTGCAACCAAAGGCGTGGCTTCTCAGAACGCTCCATTAAGAAATCCGAGCTGGTGAATTAAAAAGTTAGCTTCCTCTCCCGGGGCTGTCTGCTGAGCACAGATTTGCCAATGCAGAGGCAGAGCCTCAAACTACAGGCCACTGTAGGAACTTAGGGGGGCTGGGCGGCTGGGGTGCAGGCTGTAGGGTAGGGGAGCATTGCTGGCTCTGTTTTATGTCACTGTCCCCAGTCCTGACCTCAGGACCTCTTGGCTGCCCCTGTAATGTAAATCAGCTCCGCTCAGTCCCTGGCTTCTAATCCTCTTAGGGTCACATGGCCATTTTAGAGTGTGGTATGGATCTTCTTAAAATGTGAGGTATTCAACATCTTTGAAAACCAGCCTGGGATTTGAGTCCTGGGACTCAGATTGAGCAAATTTTGCTAGTGATTGTGGCTGGTGACTGTGAGCATAGAGACTGTACTTTGTCCTTTCCTTCCTGTGTGCAGACTCTCCCTGTCTACTTCCCTACCTGCAGGGGGCTAAAGGTGACCAGCTCAGCCTTTGCTTGTATTCTTCAAGAACGATCCATTCCCTGCCAACTCGGGCTTCCTATGGTTGCTGTTGGAATACATGTTTCTTTCCACAGTCCAAATGCTCGGCACCATTAGAACTGAGACCAATATGTGGGTGCTTCTAAAAGCTTATACAAACCAAATGCACGCAATTCCACCGTAACTCCCAGCTTCTCCAGTCCACTACCGCCAGGTGAAGAGGTAAACAGCACGTGATTGGGTAAGTCTCCCTGGGGCTGTCTAGTACGAATCACGCTCTCTGCCCCAGTTCATGCTGTGGTCTCACCTGGTTTGGACATAGGCCTGAGATGTCCTGAGCACTCCTTATACCTTTGACATGTGCTGCTGGTCTGGTCCCCTGCGGCTCCTCGGCCTGCCCTCAGCTGCACTGGTCACTGTTTATACTTCATCTGGAGTAGGAGGGAACTGCCCTGCTGCCCAGTGTTGGTGGGTACTGTGGGTTACTGCCAGGTGCCTACTGGACGCCCACTGTCTTGTTTGGGAAAAGGAGGGAAGGAGAGAGGGGGAGGGGATGGAGAGACAGTAGAGAGAAGCCTACTTATTAGGAACAGTGGCATGCTAGTCCCTAGTGACGGATCCTGACTGCCTGTATTTTTTCATTCTACACTCACAACTCACAAGGGGTGGTATAACTAGAATTTAAACAGGTAACTGATAAAATATCAGTGTACAGCACACACTGTATGTTGTATTTTGTAGAACTTTGGCTTTGTTATTTAGGCTTCAGCGGCATGTATTAGATTGTGCTATAAAATGTGTACTTCAGTGGGAAAAAATGAAAACAGCAATTTCAGTCAATCTTGACAATCCTTGTCATGGCTTTCCTAAAGCTTTTGAGGAGTGGCCCTCACACTCACTTCTGGGCAAAGAGGGGAGAAAGAATTCATGGAAGAATTTGAGGGGAGGGTGGGGAAAACTTTAGTTTTTTTAGTAGAAAGAAGAGCTGCCCTCCCCCTTCTTGTCTCATGTGGATATAATATGCAATGTCTGGAGCCCTGGCAGCCAATTTGAGATCAGGACACAATATATCCACATGCGAAAGCTGGTGAATTTATAAAGGAAAAAGGAAACTTGGTCTTTATAAAACATCTTAGAGTTTCTGGCCTCTCTTCAATAAGGCTTCGCAACAGTGATGGTGCAATATGTGTGACACACGGGCCAGGGTGACAGTTCCTTCCCAGCTGATCTTGGGTCCCTAGTTTCCTCCTACCTTCCTCCCACTGGTCTGGTTGCACTGAACATGCCTGTCAGCCTCTGCACTTGGTGTTCATTTGTCCCTCAGTCTCTTCTCCAGACACTGCCAGGCTGACTCCTCACCTTCTTCAGGTCTCCACTCAGAGATCATTGTCTCTTCCAAACCTTTCCTGGCCCCTACTACGGCCCTCCCGACCCACTCACACCCCTCTCTGTGTCCCATGTCTTCATCTTGGACTCCCTAACCGAGGGACGCTCTTCCCTCAGCTGCTGAGCACCTGGGCTGTCGTGGTGGTGCACAGGTGCCCAATGTGCTATTGGTTTTCCATCCCTTAGCCAGACCCAGGAAAGATAGACTCTCCTCTCAGAGGCCCTAGCCCCATTCCAGGTGAGGCAAGAATAATGTGGGATTGGGGCTCAACTTCCGCCGGCCCTCTATTGAGGAGTGAGGCTCGAAGGACCCCTTCAGGTCTCAGGGGCCGAGGCCTCCCAGAAGTCTGTAACACCACAGCAAAGGGGCCTTTGAAGGATTCCTGTAAGGAGCTGAGCCCTGTTCACAGTGGGAGGCCCATCCCTACAGCGTGCGGCCAGCAGGAAATCTTTAGGCAACGTCATGATTTTCTTAACAGCCTGGGATGATTTGTAGGGCCTGTAAAAGGCAAATGGATAAGCTCCTGGCCCACTCCTTCACACAGGAGCCAGGAAGAAAGAACTCGGGCTCCATTTCTAAGTGGAGAGTTTAAGCCACCAGGGGACTGTTAAAGCCCACAGCAAGGTGAAGCCGCCACCCAGGGCCTGCCCTGCTCTAGGCTGCCTGGGGGCATCTTGGCACCAGGCTCTGTGCTAAAGCAACTGGGGAATTCTCTTTGTTCTCTGTGCCAGAGCTCATGTGCTGAGATATAATTTAGACAGACACATGGATTCTGAAACACAGGCTAATAGATTTTCATGTAAGTGGTGTTAAAATGAAAATCACTTAACTTTTTAAAAGCATTTTATTCTACATTTATTTAGTGTGTAACACACACACACACACACACACACCCCACTCGTATACATGCATGGTCTACCACACACCCGTGGAGGTCAGAGGATAATAGATGAGAGTTGGTTCTCTCCATCATGTGGGTCCCAGAACTTAGGTTATGAGGCCTAGTGACAGGCCCCTTCCCTGTGAGCCATCTTGCCTGCTCATCTTCCTTTCCTGAGACAAGGTCTCATATAGCTCAGGGTGGCCCGGAACTCGTTTTGACTGTGTAGCAGGGTTTGGTCCTCTTGCCTCCGCCTCCCTGGGATGACAAGTGAGCACCACTGTGCTTGGCTCTGAGAACCGCTTTCAAGGCCGTTTTTGAATTAACATTAGCAGTCGCTTTCCTAAGGCCCTGGGCATGGCTTTGTGTGACCCTTTCCCTTGTCTCCAACATGAGATTCAGGACAAGTGCCTTTTCTGAGCAATTGCTCAAGAACTCAGTGTGATCCCAAAGGGACTTCTGTGGCTGGTGACGGCACCTGATCTGCTGGAGAGCCAGTCACACATCTCTGTGGGTCTGTGTGCTTGGGTGTGGTCCCTCTGTAATAAGGGCGTTGTATGCTCTGAATGTACAAGAGGCTTTTGTGAGGGCTTGCCCTTAGATTTCAAGTAATGGCTCCAAACTTTGGCACCCCACCTGGCCACCTTTTCTGTGTCAAAGGGTCTCACCGACTCCATTTGTTGAATTGCAGATAACAACTCTGGGCTAACGTAAGAGGCTCTCTCCCCATCTCAGAGCCAGGCTGGAGATGATCGTATAGTCCCCAAATGGACATAAATTTCAATGGCGTACTCTGCACAACTGCCTTCTCATTAAGTGCGCACATGCTGGAAGACGTGATGGTGCTTTGTCCTTTACAGTAATGCTTTGGGAATGACTACGTACCCCAAGCCGCAGAACTCCTAAGTGCTAGCACAGGGTTTCCCAGGAGCCTTTACCAGGTCACGTGGCTGGAAGTGCTGCTGAGACTTGCTTCAGAGCAGAAAGTCCTGTGTCCCTTGGGCCCTTCCCCCATCTAGTCCTGGGGGAGGGGACAAGTGCGGAACCAATAGCTGCCCCCCAAACACGTGGGAGGACGGACTGGCCTGAAGACACCTTCAGAGAGCACCTTTATTAGCTGCTCACTTTTCTCACCTTCTTATCTTCCAGAGACTGGAAATGCAGCACATGGAGGGAGAGGCTAGCTCCATCCAAGAGTACAAATTAGAAGGCGGAGGAAGGATGCCATAGCTTTCTGAGGCTTCCCCTGCCTTCGAAGCCCTTGCCCAAGACCATCTGAGACCCCCAGCTCCGGACCACCTCCTCACACTTTGTGCTACTTCACCAGGCATCCATAATCCCCCAGTGGGCTCCTGGAGGGCTCAGGCAGTGGGGAACTACTGAGTACTAGTATTGACATTGCTATTACTGTGAACTGCTGCATCATAAAAGGGAGATGCAGTAGTACGACAGTGCATGGCTCCCCAGTGTGCTGCATTTCAGCAGAACTACCATTTGAGTGGCTGCAGAACGTGACTTTATGTTGTTCCATATTTCTATTCCTTCTACAAACCACTGGGCTCAGGGAGTCACAGGAAACGGTTCAAGGGTGGGAAGGTTTGCAGGAGGACACTGCTCTTCACAGAGATCTTCAGAGAGGATTGTTCAGTGCCCCACAAAGAGCCTGGGGTTGCCTGGGAGCCCTAGTTCCCGAGAATAGCGAGCTGCTGCCAGAAAGACACAGGAACCGGGGTCTTCCCTCAAGCCAGGATGCGAAGCCGCCAAAGGAAGCAGAGACCTCCCAGAGGGAGAGACAAGGAGCCTCAGGGAGCACAGAGCACTTACACACACAAGGGCCATCTGTCCAGCTCTGAGTGTCTCCTAACAGAGCATCCTGGGGAATTCACTAAAATTAAGAGTCTTCTGAGGAATGCAAAACATTCCTGGGGCCAGGGGCAGGCTGGCCTCTAGCCTGTGGCCTTGACATGGGAGCCTTGCGACTAAAAGAAATAAAAGATGCTTCAGTTGGAGTTGACCTCCCTTCTCTGGCGCCAAAGCCCACCCCCCGAGTTGCCTTTTGAGTCTTTGGATCCCAAAGACTTGTGTGTTGGGAGAAGGCTGGAGCCATCGACTTGCTAGACTTCTAATGCTTTGTCTCCCCTTTGGAATGGGCCCTGGCTTTTCATTGCAGAAGCTCTCTGGGTGAAAGGGGTAAAGGTTGTCATTACAGCGGTGAGAGCAGAATAAGCAGTGTGTTCATTAGGCTTCCCCACAGAAACAGAACGGCTAAGACATGTATACAGCTGGTGGTCAGTGTGTGTCCTCCACGTCTGACTAGCTGGAGTTGCAGGGAAATCATTGCAACTGTGTGGAACTCTGTAGGATTTCCTCTGTTATTAGTCCCTATGCTTTACAGCGTGAGAATTACTTATGTCATGTTCACTCTGCGAATGGGGTCATTCAGAGAATGTAGAAGCATGCGTGTGACTTACATGGAAATATCACATTCATTAAGAGTCTTGAGTATCTGCATATTTGGGTATCCATAGTGGACTGGAACCAGTCGCCCAAGAAAGTGGCTCAGGAGATTATGGGTTGATGAATGGAATGTCTGTTAGGCAGGACCCACAGCTGGAGATTAAGATAAGGGTTGATGTTGCAATCTGAAGTCTGCCCTCCACTGAGCTGAGAATTTAGCAGAATCCTGAGCAAAATGGCAGGCAGAGATGTGTTTATGCCATAAACCTCACTCAGTGTTCTCTCTGAAGGCCATAAATTGATCAAATGAGACCCTGCCCGCATCACAGAAGCCAATCTCTTTATTCAAGGGCCTATTAAGTTAGATGTTAATATCACTTAAAATACCTTCACTATAGCAACTAGACTGGAGTTGATCTGACAGCTGGGCCTTTGGGCCCATAGGCTAGCCAAGCTGCTACCTGAAATTAGCCATCTTAGGCAATGATGACCTATTCTGGAGTGTGACCAATAGTCCACATTGCCTCATGTCCCCATGAGGACAGACTCCATGCAGAGAGTGTATGCCCATAAAAGGCCTTCCAGGATTCCAGGGTGGAGGCAGCCTCTTTTCCTTGTATGTTGGCTAGAGTCTTATTATGTAGCTCAGGCTGTCCTTGAACTCACAATCAGGTAACCACATGCTGCTGGGATCTCATGCTTTAATGTACCTGTGTTGCCTATGACAATTCAGGGGACTTTTGTTCTTCAGACTCATGAGTCTGTGTTAGGGCTTGCCAAATATTTTCTGTGAAGAGGCAATGAAATTGTTTTCATATTTTCAAGGCAACGCATACATGTTGCAAAAGTAACCATAGACCATAAGGCAATGAATGGGTGTTGCTTTGACAATAAAACTTTATAAAACAAGCAGAAAGCCTGGTTCTGTCCATTTTTCTCTCCGCCAAACCTTTGGAAGGACACATAAGCTGCACTGTGGCTTAAGATTCTTTTAGGCAAAAAGAAACAAAGCAAAGAAGACTTCATTAACTCACGTAATGAAAAGCCCAGATACTGATAGTCTGAAACCTAGTTTATTTGGTGTCTCAAAGTCGTCTTTAGGGACTACAGTCTGTTTGTCGTCTGCCATCTTCAGCGTTTTTGGTTCAGTGACTCCTGCTGCTTGCCACAAGCTTCTGAACTTCTCCAAAGACACATTCACATTTTGGGGGGCGGGGCGGAGAGAAGAGCAAGAGAACGCTGTGGCAGTCTTCCTGCTAGCATTGAGGGCATCTTCCAGAAGCTTTCTTTCATTACCACTGGCCAGAGCTAGGGATGGTGGGTCACTGAGGCTGGGTCAAGTACACAGCTGCCCAAGGGGTGGGTAAGTGTCTGGTGAAACTCAAGACTCCACAAAGTAGCAAAAGCTGTTCATGGGAAGAAGCCCAGCCCGAGGCGAGGCTGGGAATCATGTTGTGCTGAGCAAGCAGATGGTGAGGAGAGAAGAGAACAGGCTGGACAGACAGAAGTCTCAAAAGGTACTCCCTTTGCAGATCACCATGCCCAAGGACCACAGCTCTAGGGAACTGAGAGGCTCCTAGCTAGAGAAAGGCCATACGACCATGGTGCACTGCCAGCCACCCACAACCACAGCATTAGGAACTGAAAATGCCTACGGGAGAATGAGGAACAGCCACTGGGGTGAAGGGGAGGCTGTTGGGGTGGGGGTGGAGGCTAGTCTCCTCTGGGGCAGGAGCATGCGGTCTTGGAGATGCTGTTTAGGCTGGTGTCTCTGTCAACTTTGCTAGAGATCCCAGGCCTTAGAGGCTGCTTCTTACAGGCATAGGACTGAGGAAGCCTTGCTGAGGCTAGGTTCTTATCCCAGGCTTGGAGATGGCAGGAGCGAGGTCTGGCATAGTTGGTACAACACTTTCTGCCCATATGAGAAGGGGAGGAACACCAAGCATGTGAGCACAAGGAGGCTCATAATGAGAGCAGGTAGAGGTCTGGTTCTGCTTGTCGGGGTGCGGCCTAACAGGTGCTCAGCACGGCAGAAACACAAAGGGCTGTGAGCCGAGTTCCCTAAAATGCCACGCCTCTGTTGGAGATGCTACAGACTGACCAGCTAGAACTCCATGATTGTGGAGTTTGGCTGTCGCAGAACCAGAGCCAAAACGATCCTGGGCTGTCCGTAGTTTCGTTACCACCGGCTCATCTCCCTCCTCTGTGTCTGGCTTACCACCACTTACCGCCATTATTGGGAGAGCTGCCTATAGTCTATAGTGTGACTCTATCGTCCGCAGAGGTGAAATAAGACAGAAGCCAAGACTTGTTCGGAGAGCACTCGGCATGCCTACTTGCCTACTTCTACCCAAGCTGGCCTCCCAACCCCTCACTTCCCTCACCCTCCTTATTAATTAACCATTTCCTGTCCTCTTCTCCTTCCACTCCTTGAGAAAAATGGGGCAACGGGCAATTTAAGCAGAGGGGGAAGTGTCTACTCTGGACTGAATGTTTGCGTGCCCATCCCCCCCCCCAATCATCTATTGAAGTCCTGGTCCCTAGTGTGGTGGTGTTGGGGGGGGGGCACTAGAAATGACTGGGTTAGTTGCATGGAGCCTGCATGAATGGAAAGAGTGTCACAGGACAGAGAGACACAAAGAGTTGGTTTTTTACCTTGGAAGCTGCGTGAACCAGGAAGCGGGTCCTCCCCAGCCCCTTCCCATGATGGAGTCCCGATCTCCAGCTGTCAGAACAGCGAGACGTCAGTGTGTGCTGCTTAAACCTGCTCTGCACTGTTTGTCTCTGCTGCCCAAGCCAAGACAGGACATTAGGCCAAAACTCTCCTCGCTTGGAGATGAGAGCAAATGTCTGTCCACCCCAGATAGGATACCAATGGCAGCCATAGAAACAATTCCTCCAAGTCTGGACTAGTGAACCAAGCGAGTGTATAGGGGTCATTGGAGTGTGGACTCAAAGCCCAGCCTAGCATCCGTGATGACTCACAAAAGCAAGATGGCTCCTTGCACAACTTGAAGGCAGATTCTCCTCCCTGAGCGCCGCTGCTTCCACAACACCGGGGAGGGGCCTGTGATCCTGGAACTCAGGCTTTCTGGTCTTCCAAGTTTCCTTAGCCTCTGGGCCTTAGGACCCCCCCCCCAGCCTCCCAGCTAGAAGGGAGTGTTTCAACTCCAAGGAGACACCTTCACAGCAGGAGGGGTTTCTGAGTGGGCTCTGGAGCCACCAGCAGGTGGGGTCTATGACCAGCCTCAGCCTTTGGTCCCTTGCTGATGTTAGTATCCTTGCCCAGAGCCCAGCGCGGAAGACATGGGACCGTTTTCAGCCGCAGGCCAGTGTGCACATGACTAAATTCTTCATGCTTTGGTTTCCTGTCCACAAGATGGGACTGGAACAGACCAGGACTTTTAGGGCATGGGGACTGAAGGAGTTGACATGTTCAAAGCAGGCTACACACTGAAGGCCCAGTTCTGTCGGTGGTTATAGTCCTGTGATTTGCCTCATGCTTACTCCACCACATGAGGAACTGGCTTTGATTTCTGTGGAAGACTCATCTGAGTGCTTTATTGCCTTATGGCCACACTTCCCCGGCCTCAGGATTGGTGTAACTGACCCGAATGCTGCTCTTACACTGGAGGAAGGCCCAGGAAAGGCAGGAAGGAAAACTTTTCCAGGGCTAGGGGAGCTGAAGCTTAGGCGATTCCCAGGGCTCCACTGCAAGCTTACACAAGCAGTTAACAGTTGCTGTGGACAACACAGGCCTGGAAAATCAAACTGGCTGCATCTGTGACTGGAAACTCCAGAGATGCTGCTCTGATGAGTCCTCACCCGTGCTAGGGTGGCTTTGAAGTGATGCAGCCTGCTTCTGAGTCATCCATGCTCCTGCAAGCAACTCCCTCCCTGTAAGTAAACCCAATAAACCCACTGACTCACGGGGGCTAGAACTGTGTGGCATCGTTAGGTTTGTCTGTTGGTGGTGCCCTACCTGGAGTGAAGAGACACTTGTTCACCTCTCACCAGGCAAAGCCACACAAGAGATACAACCCAACTCTCCTTCGTCCATTTCCAGACTCTGCCCAAACTTATCACTCAACATAGCACTTGTGACTCCTTGGGAGGCCCTATCTGCCTCTTGTTGGCAGAGTGTTCAACTTAGCACTTAGTCCCAGTGCCTCATGGGATATGTAGTCCACATAATAAGTACTTGATGATATTTGCTGAGCTAAACTGACTCCTCTCTTTAACACTGTTCTCGGAGCTTATACTGACCCTGACCATCTAAAATAAAGGAACACGCTTGTTCCACTCTGGAAAGAGGAACCAGTGCTTGGGGCCTGAAGATATCTCGCCCAGTTTCCTGGAAGCCGGACACTCAAATGATAGTGGTCTGGAGGTGGGGTGTAGCCTCAAACAGAGCAGCTGCTTAGGAACAAATGAATCATGTTTCACTTATCTGCTCTTTGAAGGGCAGTTTGATTTGAGACTCCTGGGTGCTTCCATATCTGTGAGCGGGTAAACATTCCCTTCAGGACTCTGGAATCAGCCCCAGAATAGTCTCCACTCTTACAGTTTGTCTTAGGAGATTACCCAAAGTCCCAGAGTTCTTGCTATTTAAAAAAAAATCACAGTTTATGCTAGACTCTGGATGCCTCCTGGGCTTGCTCTGTTGCCCAGTCACAAGTTCCTTATTAATACCCACAGTTGGACCCCTCAAGCAGTAGAGTGGCAGGCCCCTTAGGGATGCTCTCATATGAGGAACGACTTAAGGCCTCAACTCTTAGCAGATTGCCTTTGGGTGGCCCAGTCTCTCTCCAGCTGTTTCTCTCTTGTCAAACAGTGGAACTCAGACTCTAATATCCACTTAACTGAAATTCCACTTCCTGTTTCCATGGGCAGCTTAGCTCTTCCCTTTTTTCCTACGACGACAAGACATTTGGTCACTTAGGTAACCATGAGCAATCTGATTCCAGCCATCATGGGCAATCCTTCACCCTCCAGATTTCCCCCTTTCTTCCACCTCCAGCCTGTAAAATACCCTACTGTCCAACAGCAGGCCAGCAGCTGGCCCCAGAGCTCTAAGGGTCAGGTGACAGGTGAAGCTGTTGTTGACACACACAGCTTGTGATTCTGCGTCCACGGGGTATGGGATGAAAGGTTCTTCCTTTGAGACGTCAGCCAGGAGCAGGGTGGGAGAGAACCCAGGAAGAGAGGAGCAGCTACTCTCTCAGACAAACACGCCCATTACTGGGATAAAACCAGTACGTGGAACTTGATAGGAAAGCCTTGAAGCCTAGAGAGACAGCTGTGGGCCAGAGAGCTGACCAGCCAGCTGACCAGGAGGGAGTGTATTGTCTGAAGACTCCTATATCTCAGGAAAATGGCAATCGAAGACGGAGGGATCCTGTGAAGACATCACTCGTGTTACTGTATCTAAGCCTCTGCCAATCTCAGGGAGAGAGACTACAGTGAAGCCCCCTTTACAAAAGGGGAGGTGGAGGCTTAGAGGAGATCCATTCGCTCTGGCTACATCACAGATACAGATACAGAGCTCAGGGATAGGACTTGTGTGTATGATGGGGAAATCCTCATCAACATGCTCCATGTTCTCACAGTCATAGAAATGAGCAAGTGAATGAGTAAGTGAATGAATGAAGCAGCTCTCTTGGACTCAGAGTAGCTCAGAGCACCTTCTCCCCAGAAAAAAAATAACTGCTTAATGTAATATGCTTTGATCTTGGAGAAAACCTGAAATATCAACCATTTAAATCTCTAAGAAAGGCAAGGGTACACAGCAAATGGAGAAATAGTCACAAGAGGTCAATGACTGTTGAACCCTGACTTTCTCACAATCTGAGGGGTGTCTATTGCCCCTTTTTTTTCTTTTCTGAGAAAGGTCTCATGTATTCCATATCCAG